TCAGGAATTAGGAAAAATAACCTGAATTATATACCTGATCTCCCCAGTGAAGGCACCCTTGGGAACTTTGTAGCAGTTCTGAGCAGCCACACCGAACTTGGAGTCCAGTTTGGACCTGACAAAGTCCAGGTAGATCGATGGAGCGCCGCACACCACCTCTGTTAGAGGAAAAAGAAAAACACTTGGGTTACAGCTAGTTAATCCAGTTACTCTTAAAACCAAATATTAGAATATTTATGACCACCTGACATCCATCAAGCAGAGTTTGAAACCTCCTTGTGGTACCTCAGAGAGGCAGCGGCTATTAATGTGCCTTTTGTGATTAGGAAAAGGCACAGAAAAAAGCAACAGTAGTAATTAGACTATCAAAGCATCCTCAGTGATTAGTTTGACGTGCTTTTATATATGCGCATCTACAGTTCAGCTAATCTGAGCCATGCCAAACACAAGAACACATGTTTTCCACACTGCACTACTGCAACTAAGAGGCTGAACTGAATCCATTCTTAAAAATCAATAATCTGAGAGCTTAATGGTCCAATGAGCAAAATTCAAAGAGAATGACTGGGAACTAAAAAAATAAAAATAAAATAAAAACCACAGGAAGCACTGGTTCAATATGAGGTACAGTCTGCAGCGGTCAAGAAGAGTACAGTAAAGTTAAGACACTGACATTCACATTGTAACTATATCTTTGGGGTTATGGAGTCTATATTAAACACTGCCCGTTATTATTAGTTTTGGCAAAGGTCAGTCAGGTCTCCCTGCAGTAAAGGTCTGAGTTCAGCCTCCAAAAGGTCACCTGCCACGGCTGCATTCAGCAGAGGTCAGAGACAACCCATGCACCCGAGTTCAAAGGGTCAGACAGAAGATCCAGAGTTTAAATATCCAACAGGTCGGTCTGAGGGTGAAACAGGTGAACTCTGACTTTAGAGGCGAAAGCACGGGGGAAAAAGCTCGTCTTCATTTTCCCTTCAGCTCTAAAAATGGGGTGGATTCATTAAAGGGAGCAAGGTCCAAGGATAGTCTGAGCAGATTTCAGTCCTGAGCACTCAGGCCTGTGAGTGCACACAGCATTGCAGTTGCATAACAAACACACAGGAGGAGATAAACGGGCCTGTGACAGCAGACACAGGCCGTCTTCATAGTGTCATATACTTAAAAAAGTGAAATATAAGCAGAGCTCAGTGTCTTAATGAAACAGCAGCTGCTGCCTCTGTCTGGCTCGTCTGCAGGAAGCAGACAGCAACAGGGCAATGTCTTCTGCTGCATTCAGGGCAAGTTGGGGAAAAAACTGGCTACACACTCACACGAGTGAAGAGCTGAAATAAAATGAGTGCATCCGTTTTTTACTTGTTTTTGACTTTTGGGCTGTTTAAAGCTTAAGCTACTGAATAACTCGGCTCAATATGCTGACGAAAGAGCAACCCCATTAACGACCAGCCTGACTTGAATGCACCCCGCACATCCACAGCAGAGGCAGAGCTGCTCTGATGGTCTACGTGCCGCTGCAAACGCACACCCACCACGACATGAATGGAAAAAGCCATCCGAGCTTCCCTCGGCTGAGCTCCGGCACGTCTGCCAGCCGCTGGTCACGATTTAGCTCGGTTTAAAACGACCTCAGGCTAATCCCGACTTTATTAAACACGGCCTGAAACAGACAGAAGCTCCGGCGCCAACGCTGTCATTGATTTTTTTTTAAATATTTTGAATGAAACTGACATTTTGACCGCGGAAGATCATTCAGCTGTGACACGAATACGCAGAGATAGGCTTAAAATAACTGAAAATATGAAGACAAGTGGCCAAAAATACTGAACCCCATTCAAGAAGGGTGATGGTGTCAGAAGAAGCCACATACCGACATTGGGGTCCACCTTGCCTCCGTTCATGGTCTGGATAAGCTCCCCGAGGCTTTTCTTGTCGCCGTTCATCTTCCAGTTTCCACCAACGAAGAATTTTCTGGTCATGTTTGCGATTTTGGGGGGACGTTAGCCAAAGAGTGAAACGGTACTGAAAGTCCACTGGGGTCCTTCTAGTCTGGGGTAAGAGAGCGGACGTTAATGAGCAGCTCGGGGTATTTATTAGCGTGAAGGTCTAACCCCTCCTCTCCCTCAGCGCCATTGGTTCACGCTGGTACGCCCGTAAAACGCGTTTCTGCCTCATTTTGAGGAAGAGGAAGAGGAGAATGTCATGCTGCGTTCAAGTTCCGTGCGGGAAAAGTAGCTTTTCCCTGGATGAACCCGTTAGTGAGGACAACAGATATGAAGTCAAGCAATCGACAGTCTTGTGTTATTTTCATTCCTTCTAATTCTTATTTATTTTTTCATGTTTTTCTGAGTTAGTTTCCAGAGTGTGTTCGTTTTTATTCCTTAAATAGTTTTAATGTTAGCTTTTCTTAAGTATATGTATTTAGGGCTGTGCAGGAATATCGGGGAACGATGCACCTTACCTCTATGTAACACAACTACAGCTAACAAAAAATATAAATAAAGAGTTGCAAAAAAAAAAACATGTAGGGATTCTTTGTTTATCTACTCGTTTAAGAGACTCGTTAACAACAGAGAAAGTTTATGGATGTAGTGAATGAGGACATGCACAAGGTTAGTGTGATGTAGGGTGGTCGGAATACGGTGAGATGAATGCCGATGGTACGCTTTAGCGACATCTAAAGGGAGCATCCGAAAGAGGCAGTTATTACATTTAAGTAGTCTTGTTTTGATCAAATTTCAGCATTGGTATGTATAGTTAGCCTTATAATTAGCCTTTATTTCACCTGAATCCTCTAAATGATCAGACCTACGGTACCTTATTTTTTTCAATCATAAGTATGACTCGCTTCTGTTACTCAGTCATGACGGTCAACCATTTGATTGGCTGTGACGACACCAATCCCGCCCACCCACTCATTGACGGCTTGTTCAAAAAATGTTGTGATTGGTGAACACTCGGGCCAGTTTTAAAGTATTTGCATATCCGGCATGCACTGCGCTAAGAATGCCCTTATTATTCTTTTAAAGTATAACTTTCAAAGGGTTTCAGTTGATACATTGGCTGTACATGTATTTAAATATATTATAAATGAATATTTTTAAATATTTCCATTATTTCTGATATCGTATTTTGCACCTACATAATCACACCGTAACAACAGTTTCTGTGCCTGGCGTTCTAGTACCGATAGGTCTCAATTTCGCGTCAGGAATCTTTGCTCTTAGATATTTGTCTAGTAGGTTTCTCATAAAGAGAAGCCCTCACTCTCGTGTTTAAAGAAGCTCTTAGTCCATGCATTCATTCCAATATCCAAAATATTGGGAAGCAGACGAGTTCTCACCACATCCAGGGTCTAGTTTACTCTAATACTCCAATTTCAATTTGTGTTACACTTATAAAATACAGACGTGGCTCAAACAGCGTTGTCCAACAAATAGTATTAATAAAATAACACACAAAATTATGCAACATAAGGTAAACATATTTGTTCTTCGGTAGCTCTGGTGGAATAAAATCTATATTGTGAGCCTCTTATGTCTTGAACTCTTATCTGACTGCTCTCGTAAAACTACGTGATTTTTAAGACTGTTTAATGTCACTGTTTAAAATCCCCTTTGTGTACGAGTGATCTGTGCCTGTGAGTAGTAACCACCCGCCGTTTGATTGGCCATAGTGACACAAGTCCCACCCACTTCGAGACGACTTCGTGATTGGTGAAAGTCACTGGCGCTTTATACCACCATAACAACAGTGTCTGTGCCTGGCGTCCTAGTACCAATAGATTTAAACTTAGAGACAGGAATCTTTGCTCTTTGATATTTGTCTAGTAGGTTTCTCATAAAGAGAAGCCCTCTCTTACGTGTTTAAAGAAAACTAAATTGGGGTCTGTGTCTGTTCTTTCATAAAAAGCAGTTAAAGGTGTCTGTAGAGTTATTTCTGAGTCCCATAACTAGTTTGTTACACTGTAATTTCATTTTGGATTACACTTATTTTTTGCTGGACAACGCTTTTTGAGCATTGTCCAGCAAAAAATAACAATAAAATAACTCACTTCACTGAAAACTTAAAGTGAACATGCGTATTCTTCAGTAGTTCTGCTGGAATGAAATCTATAATGTGAGCCTAACTCTTATCTGACTGCTCTCGTAAAACTACGTGATCTGTTTAATGTCACCGTTTAATGTTGTAGGCCAGTGTTAAAGAGGCTTCAAAAACCAAAAAGAATTCCTCTGAAAATGATCAGGTCCAAGGTCCTGAAGCAACTATTCTAGTTCAGACTAGTTACATTTTAGTGTGAGACTAAAATTACAGTAGTAATGAAATGACAACTCTTATAAAAGGTTATAAAAATGAGACAAGACACAGAAATAGTCTCTAAACCATTTTAAATTTATTTTGTTTCCTTACAGCTTTCCACTCCTGTCCCTTTTCTGTGGGACAAAATCTAACCAAGTAAAATAATAATAACAATAATAATAATAATAATAATAATAATAATAAAGGAGAAGAAGGGAATGACATCTTCACACAAATATTTTGAATGAAAAAGGGGAAGAGGACTAAGTGTTGAGAGCTGGGGATGAAGAACTGGACCATCTGAATGGACTCGAACTCTAAACCGCTCGCATTGGCCTTGGCGTTGATTATGCTGATAAATACTGGCTTCAGGGAGCCTTTGCCCACAATGAAACCATCAATGTCCTTCTGGCCAGCAAGTTGAAAATCACTTTTGTGTACAAGTGATCTGTGCCTGTCGTTTGATTGGCCATAGTGACACAAGTCCCGCCCCCTGCGTGACTACTTCATGATTGGTGGAAGTCAGTGGCGCTTTATACCACCATAACAACAGTGTCTGTGCCTGGTGTTGTAGTGATTACAATGGTTAGGTTGAGAACAGGAATCTTAGCTCTTAGAAAGTTATCTAGAAGGTTTCTCATAAAGAGAAGCCCCCCATATCTGTGTAAAGCAAAGTTGTTTATTTTCTTGCTTCACATGTTCCTGTGTCCTGTATGTCCTCTCTCTTTACATCCAGGAATCTTCTTTGTGGTCTTTTTCTTTTCTGTCTGCTTGGCAGCTCCATTTTCAGCTGCTAGGCAGCTTCAAAAATAAAAAAAGCATTCCTCTGAAAATAGTCAGGTACAAGGACTGGAAGCAACTAGTCTGAACCAGTCTGAGACTACAATGAATACTGTTATGAAAGGATATAAAAATGAGACAAGACACTGAAATAGTCTTTAAGTCATTTATATTTATAATGTTTTCTTACAGCTTTCCACCCCTATCCCATGTCTTTGTGACAAAATATATAATCAAATAAAAAATAATTAAATAATAAAGGAAAGGGAGGGAATGTCATCATCACAAATACTTTAAATGAAAAAGGGAAAGAGGACTAAGTGGTGAGAGAGAGGGATGCAGAACTTAACCGTCTGAATGGAGTTGGACTCTAATCCAATCACACTGCAGTTGTCCACATTTTATGCCTTGGCGTTGATGATGTCAATGAACTCTGGCTTCAGGGAGCCTTTGCCCACAATGAAACCATCAATGTCCTTCTGGGCGGCAAGTTCTCTGCAGGTATCACCTCTCACTGAACCTGAGAAGTAGAAGCGATGTGTGAGAAGAGATTAACGTGGGACTCAAAGCAAAACAGCTACCCAGCACAGCACTGACCTCCGTAGATGATCCTTACAGAGTTGGCTACCGCCTCAGACACGTTGTTCTTCAGCCACTCCCTCAGTTTGGCATGAATCTGCTGCACCTGATATATCACACAGGAGACATTATGTTAGAAACGGTACACACAATAAGTTAAATATTCAGTGATTTGTAATATTTACGTGTTGAGGAGAGGCAGCGTTCCCAGTGCCAATGGCCCACCCAGCCTCATAGGCCAGCACGACCTTGTTCCAGTCCTTTACGTTGTCTGTTAAAGAGACATGCGATCTTTAT